TTTCCACAGTTATTAAAGGGGGGGTGAAATGCTATTTCATGCATAGTGAGTTTTTTACACTGTTATAGAGTTGGATTCCCATGCTAAACATGGACAAAGTTTCAAAAATTAAGTTGTACGTTTGATTGAGTATTTCTATTCTCAAAATACTCCTTAGTATTCGCGATCATTAGTTATATTAGTTACCAATGATCGCGCGCGCGAACTCGACAATCGACTACTGTGGACTTCGAACGAAAACAGGAAGTAAATACAGGTATGTGAGCTGGCTAAATTAACATCATTTTTATTAATATCTTGCACATCTACTGCAGTCAGATTGACCGTGGTCACTCTTAATAACACCACTCACATGGCTGTGCACTTGTAATGACACATTAAGGTTGTTAAGAGGCTAAAAGCAGGTTTAGAACTTGCCCCATTGAAGTCAACAGGGTGCGAATTTTAAAAAGAGGATAACACGGTGTAGGCAACACCGATTTTTGTCGTTTTTGTCTGTACTGACAGGACTCCAAATGTACAAAAAAATGAGCTCAATGTTAAAATTGACGGAGTTCTCCTTTAACATGAGAGTGACTGAAACTGTGTGTTTCACCCCCCCTTTAACATTGTAAATCTAGTAATGTTAGATTATTCTTTGGGTTATATCACCTTGGCATTAAATTTCAGTGTGTAATAAAATGGCTAAAGGAGTGATTTGACATCTATCGCTCTTCTGACCAACTTAATCAATTCCTCAATACTTATTTTTTTCCTCTTTTGGAAAAGTCATAAACGCTATTGTGATTTTTCTTTTTCTTTTGCTTTTGGAGCATTATTTGCCCCATTAATAATAAAATAATATTATATATACAATACAATACATACAAGTTTGCCCAACCTCCTACTTCCCTTTCTGAGAACCCCGAAAATGTGAAAAGTTTCCATGGGAAATGTCATGCAATTTTAGTAACTATATATATATATTTCACAAAAAAAAACCTGGGGGTTTAAATCGTGGCAAAATCATTGGAGATTTTGAATTAGGATTAAACAATGTCCCCAATCACTAAGCTATTATTCACAAGTTCACATTTTAATTTAAAATACATATTTGGCTTCAGCACACGCTGCTCTAAATTCCCCTTGAATTACTAAATGAATACATATTTTAATATTTAATACAAAACAGTCAGTAGAGATAGAGGTGAAATTGGGGTGGTGGATTCCTGATTTTTTTTTCTATGTGATTAAAAAACACAATATTCCTGCCCTTTGACCTGCATGCGATTCCGTGTTTTAATGGATTTTCCTGTCACTGATGCAACTCAAACTTGAAGTTCAATTGGAGGATTTTCTAAGCAAATATTGATATATGTGATAAACTGCACTTAATTTGATTCATGCAATAATATTGTTAATAGATTAACAGTTTTAAAATGTTATTCAAACAGCTTTCTCATCTAAAGTGTCTAAAATGACCAAGTACACGGACAATCTCCCCAGAGCAACCCAGAGTTAAGTGAAGTGCTCTAGGGCACAATAACAATAGAGGATCCCAGACAGTCTTCAGTATATGGCGCCTTCTGATTAAATGTGAACTTATGACCTTTAGAAACTGAAGATTTCACCGGCCTGGATCTATAACTACTAAACTAGCACCAAATGTTCAAGAAAAAAACCCCAACAACAATGATAATGATATAATAGTAATTTATGGGAGGATATAACAGTTCGTCTAGTTTCGGTAGATTACAGTAGAGTAATTTACAAAAATTAACAGTGCTCTCGCAGTAATAATGTCAGCAATTGCCTAAATCTAAAGTGCTCCCGAGCTACCGCTTGTACCCGATTGTGTGATATTACAAACAAAAGTGTAAAATGAATGCACATTATGAGATGGATGCAAGCCGACACAAACACACACATTCACACTCTCTCATCCAAACAGAGCCAGATTTGTTGCATATTACAACAGCCCATGGGGAATATCACACATGCGGTCTCACGCAGCTTCTGAGCTATCGCTTGCCTCGATTATCGATGCTGCCACTGATTTTCAACACTCTCGATTCATTTCTCCATTTTCATTCTCCAAGAGCCGTGCAGAAAACTTTCATGTATGATCAATGCAGTGGTCCAGCATGAGCGGTAGACCGTAATTTACGTTCTAGGACAGGATAGAGCTGAGCTCAGCAAAAGCCCGTGATTTAGGGTTGCTTTGGTGATGGTTCCACCATAGCGACAAAGCATCTGAGATTAAGTATGTTGAAGAGCGCAGCCCATATGTTGCAGTGCTGTAGCGCGACAACAGGACATACGCTTCTCAACGGATCCAGAGACACATTTTCTGTTCTGATAATCACAAAAGACCATGACCAATTGCAATTAGTTTTCTAAGAGGCATGCATCCATTTGCACACTTGCTTAACGTGCAGATCTGAGCAGTATGTCCTGTTTATCTAAGGTCAGGGATCAGTTCTGCAATGGTTCAATAGTGGAAGTGAAACCGACTCTCATGAGCACAAGACTAACACGCTGTCTCAGTCTGATGGAGTGTGTGCTCCCTTGACAGCGTTATTAATTCAGATTTGCACAACCTAGACTGTGACAAACCCATAATACGTGGTGGATGAAACTCCTCTAACTGGCATATTACTGAAAAAGAGCGCATTAAACAGCATGACACATCTCTACGCCAGACTCTCACCAACTCTCGGTGTAAAAAGCTGTGAAAACTCATGACGTGAGTCATACTTTGCAATTGAAATGCAGAATATTATTCATGTTGGCAGGTAAGATCAGCCACATAGTCCTGACTACATGGCTAATGTTACAGGCGAACATCACTGATGTTGTCCAGAGAGGGAAGCTAGTTTTGACCAGAGGGAGAGGCTGTAAATGTGAGTGGCAAGAAACAAACAAGAAAGCGACTGCAATTCACAAAGCACAGGCCGCAGGCCCGCCCAAGGGGTTTATGATGATGATGTCCGAAAAGCAAGTTTAACAGGGTAGTATTTATAATAGTGTCTATATTGACAAATGAGAATATATTTCAACAGAAGTTGAAAAAATTAAACTGACATTTTGCACTGACATCACAGAGGAGTCATTAGGCTTACGTCATTCCACTGCGATGTGCAGATGAATAGGATCCTCGGGTATTTAACTGCGGATGCCAAGGGACTACGTCAACACGGAAATGTTGGGCGCAGATGATTCACTGGCAAATAACAGTTATTTAGAATGGTGTATGTCAGCAATTATAAACCTTGCAACCTACCTAACTTGTGCAAGGGAGGGTGGTAGCGCTCAAGGGTGTCAGAAATATGACGACTCTCTCTCCCTCACACTGTAATACGCAAGTAATGATGAGTAATGGATCAGTAATGTAGAGTAATGTGTGTAATGATGGAGTTTTATAAATGTAATTTCACCTTATAGGTTTACTCAAGAGGTTTTACTAAATTACTACAAGCACATCATGATCTGAAATTACATTTGCTTTGTTTTGACAACATTTTCTTTCACGAATGTTCAATTGGCAGTGAAATTCCATAAAGTAAAAGAAATGAAAATGCATTTATTAAATAGGCAGGAGAATTACACTACAAGTGAACAATGAAAATCAGTCTGTCACTGGCAGAACTGCATGCATCGAGGAATAAAAGGAACATTGAGCAATAAAAGGGGGCCCTTTCTAGAAAAGCATGGGTCGATAGATAGATAGATAGATAGATAGATAGATAGATAGATAGATAGATAGATAGATAGATAGATAGATAGATAGATAGATAGATAGATAGATAGATAGATAGATAGATTTTGTATTATCCTTTGATCACTTTAAATGGCTATTTAGCGTAATTTATTTGCAATAAAGGCCAAGGCTCTCTATAAAACATTTATAAAACAGACTAAACGAGAAAAAGAGCACAGTTTGTGCAAATATATAACCTCATTAACAACTTTATAGAGTTGACAGCAGGAAATGGGTAAGAGGTTTTAAAGAATTAGTCAAGAGCCCCCTGGTGCCACAGTTCACGAAATTCCCACCCTTAACCACAAAGTACAGAGAGGTCGACTGCTCTGGGACCACAATTAAACCATGTCATGGTGCACAGTAGTATTTGGCAAACTAAACTACGTGAATACTGACGTATTATGCTCATACAGCCAGGGGAAACGGTTTCCTTCACAGTTTATGCCGTTTATTCACAGTTTAAACGGCATAAACTGTGAAGGAACACTTTCCCCCTCAACTTACTCTTATACGCATGTGTGGCATTTTGTTATTTTAGTAAACAACAGTTCTCGCGATGACTATTTAAATTGCAACGGTCCAGAAGAGGATCTGAAGGTGACAGTAAGTTTCTCTTGCTTGTAAGCTCAGTCACTTATTTTCTGCTAAATGTTCATTATCACGTAGGCATTAGCAGTCCAAGTATTCGCTGATTTGGAACGTTCTCTTTTAGAACAGTCAAACCGTCGGAACGGGCCAAATTCTAAATCGAATTTTCGATTCAAATCTGTTCTCTCCTAGTGTAAATCTGTTAAGAGTTTAAATGAGAAACATTTTACTTGTACGAGTTTCATTATTATTATTATTATTATTTTACCTCAGAGAAAGTAGCTATCCAAGACAATCATATTCTTCTGGTGAAATTAACCTTTTGCATTACGGTCTTATTCACATATGAAACAAAAATATATTTTTCTAACGAGAAATCCATCAGAATCACTGTAAAATCATTTCGCAAGCCACAGGTCCCCTTGCAACGGAGAAGTAGCGATCTCCGAGCGCAAACTTAAGCAGCTTTTAAAGCTGAACTATAAGGCTGTAAACGTAGTGAGATTGATTGGCAAAATAAGGGCGAAGGTCTGACACCAAAAAACACAACTGGCGCCATAAATTGTTGCTATTTTGCGTTTTGCCTTATGCGTGGACAACCCGCGCGCAGTTCCCAGCAATGCCATTCTGTGGGATATTTGACGGACACATGTCACTTCATCAACATTACCTTCGTCGAGAAGCCGTTCGAGGTGGTTGAAGATCCCGCAGAAGTTGGGCAGACTGCTCATCAGTTTCTTATCGTTCATGAGCTGCATCAGATAATCAGGGGTCGGCTTCGGCTTTTCTTTCGTTTCCATTTCCCCCACCATATTCCACAGAAATCACCACTGACGCCCCAAAATAGACAGGAAAAAGTCCCAAAATAAATAAAGGCTGGAATATAAATAATAAATAGAGTACAAAAACGCAAGTGAGGAAGGCAAGTGCCTGTGAGTCTTCCGCGGCAAAGGATGCTGTCTCTGTCTTTACGCACAATCCGCTGCTGCAATACTGCAATTCTGGGATGACAGTTGTTTTAGGGCAGCTGATGAAATGAAATTAAATGAACAAAATGAAATATATACGGGTGGAGAGTGAAGCCTTTCAGGTCTCCTTTCAAAAACAATTCCCAATAAATCCCACAAGTTACTCGCAAAGGCGACGTACTCCCGCGTGCCCAGTGTCCCTCTTAAGATTTATTTTAGCGAGAGATTTGTCCTTAACTTCCTCTTGAGGCGGTGAAAATGCACCCTTTCCCCGAGTTCCCCAAAGCTTCCTGTGTCTTGTCTGTCTTTGTATGTGTGCAGCACTAGAAACGTCTGTCCCCCCTGTCTCTCACGCGCAATAAAGGCGCTTTCTCAATGAGATTGGCATTCGGTCCTCCGTTACCGAACAGCTCTTCTTGCGCTCGCGAGTCCGTCACATGATCACACTGAGTCTCAGCAGCAGAAATCAGACTGTGGGAGGAGAGAGAGAGAGAGAGAGAGAGAGAGAGAGAGAGAGAGAGAGAGAGAGAGAGAGAGAGAGAGAGAGAGAGAGAGAGAGAGAGAGAGAGAGAATACATTTGAAAAACAATTAGCCCATTTTAAACGCAGACTCGATTCTGAAACATACGTATGGTGGTGCGTGTCTTCAAATGAACTATTAGGCCTATTTTTTCCAATGCGTGCAAATTGCAAGTGAACATGAATATCCATCCATTCCCCAAAACCCTTGTTCTGCATCAATATCTAGCACTATTTCTGAAATGTTTAAGCATGCCCAACACAATCATGAGGAATAATTAAACTTTTTGTTTTATTTAAAGGGATACTCCACCCAAAAATGACAATTCTGTCATCATTTACTTACCCTCAAGTTGTTGCAAACCTGTATGAGTTTCTTTCTTCTCCTGAACACAAAGCAAGATATTTTGAAGACCGATTGGAACCAAACAGTTGATTGGCACCATTGACTTCCATAGTAAAAAAAAAAAAATACTATGGAAGTCAATGGTGCCAAAGTTCCAATCGTTCTTCAAAATATTTTCCTTTGTGTTCAGCTGAAGAAAGAAACTCATACAGGTTTGCAACAACTTGAGGGTGAGTAAATGATGACAGAATTGTCATTTTTGGGTGGAGTATCCCTTTAAATCATCATTTTACTTCCCATCATGTCATTCCGAGAACAGATTTTCTTTCTTCATTGAAACACAAAACATTTTATGAGCTGCTCTTTCATAAAATTGGCTGTATTCGTAATCTATATGTTTGTTTGAAAAACAGACTAAAAGTATAGTTTTATTATACTTTAATTGCACCTTTTTGCAGCTCGGACAGCATAAGAAATAAAATTATGCTAAATTGGAGCGACATGAAGGTGAGTGAACAATAAAAAGGTTACATTTTTTCACCAAAGCAACATTTTTCAGATATCTTTAAAATCTACTTTGTAAAATCTAACAGTTGTTTTAACTAACACTTTTTTGTTACATTTACTTAATGGCTTAACTTCATTGAATAAATCAAGCCATTTACATACCATGCCTTGTTTACTCCAAAAACCCAAGTTAAGATTCATTTATTGGTTTGAGTGCCATTTTGTCAAATTTTTGAGGCGGGGCAAATCTAAATAGACTTAATATTTTTAGTTCCATTCACTGATTCCCCAAAGTCATCTTGAATGTTGAATGTCAATACAACGGAAAGATTACAAAGACATAAAGCTGACTTCATAAATTGATGTTGATTTTCCTAAAATGTTTTTGTTTGAACTCGACATTATGGATCAGTGTTCCCTTTGGTGGGACACTTGGATCTTCATTTTTGTAATTCTCCTCCTATTGATACAGCGATACAACAATAAATCACAGTTATTTTGGTTTCAAAGGAAGGGAAGTAATAAATGGGTTGTCTTTAAGAGGTGACCTAACTTCTAAATAAATCATTAAATAGTCTATTTTTCTGGTGGAATAAGGATCTTTTAAAATGTTATTGCGAACACATGTCATAAACACCTTGTGAAACTTTTAATTGGGTTGACATAATCCCTCTATATTTGTGACAGTATCTTGCAATTGACCATGCTGAGTAACACACATACTTCAACATTTAGCATGCATGCACACAACTATGGTAACAATTAAATTTTTTTTTATTAGTTGTAACAACAACAATTTGATTTGCTTTTTTAAATTGTGCTAGTACTCAAGGCTGCAAATAAAATTGGCAAATAAAACAAACAAAAAAAAATAGTAAAACAAAGCAATTGCACAATGTATTCATACCGCAATGCACTCTGGGAGTCAGTAATTCTGAGTAGACTAAGTCAAGAGTAAATCTAAAGTAAATTATCTACAGTTCTTACTGTCATGTAAGTGAACTAACTAAGCATTTGCCAGTACAACTACTATTCCCATTTCACTTTACTTATTTTTGTCTTAAGACAATCAGTTTGCATGCTTTTTTAAGTAAGTCTAACAAATTAGTTTTTACAGTGTACCTCTTAACATTTAGCATTGACACTTTAACAAGTTAATACTGTATTTTGTTGCTGAGAACGAAAGTGCTATCCTCTTAAGGCGTTTGTGAGACTGAGTGTGTCGCATCGGTCTAATATTAAAAGACTCATTTGTCTTCTTTTGGCTGGCTAGAATAGTAAAGGAGAAGTGCGATTGACTAAACGCCGGTGCACATCAGAACATACCACAATGGTAAAGAAGAAAACAAGGCATTTATCTCAATAGGAGGACTTCCTCTGCAAAAAAAAGAAAAATCATTACACAATGCGGATGGAGGCTAATTCTTCGTCAATATGTGCCAATACTCAATTAAAGCTAATGCTATGGGAACAGCTCCTCCCTCTGGATTAGGCCGCTTTTTAATTTACATAATTAACATTCTTTTTGTCCTTATTGGAGCAGCATAAAAACAGCACAAGCAGAACGCTTACAGCGCTAGCATTCGTTCTTTGCTTTAATGCAATGCATTAGGTTTTGAAAAACAAACGCTAGTACCAAACTAGCATAGGAATGGCAAAGCTATCAAACATTTCAGAGAGAAGTGAAGTTATTTTCCCACACAGCAAGCATAATTTATGAGTGCTTAAATCCCTTCATTACTATGTTTATATAAATACTCTAATTGGCCTAATGGTTTTGTCACTTCTTTTGTTATCCAAAGCAGTTCTCATGCATGGTGCTGTTTGGCTTTTAGACGCAGCCATGAAAGCTATTGTTCCAGTCACCGTTTGACGTTACATTGGTCCATCGCTCCTATTCACGTGAACGGAAAAAAAACAAAAAACAAGGAGCACGTATAAGGAATAGCCGGAAAACAAAACGAGGGACAACGCACCAGAGGGCTGAAGAGATGAGGGGAGAGAGGGCTGGCGGCCCAGTATCTGACAGCATGGAAACAAACGACCCACCAGAACAGGAAGGGATTGTCCAGGTCCTGCCCAGCACCTTTTCATCCTTTTGTGATGCTCGGGGCTTTCACATGCAGATCGCCTTGGACGCAGAGGCCTGTGTGAGGGCGCCTTGCCCTCCTGACTACAGAGAAGGGGGTATATTTACCCCTCACCCCTTCTTCAGTGAGAACTGCCCCTCCACCCCGCGGCTCTTCGCTCGCTCTCCAAATGACGGAAGCCTTGTTTGAGAGCAGAGGAATTACATTAATGAATGCATTCCTTCACACATGCACCCTGAAACCAGGCAAGGAGAGCAAGCTTGTCTCTGTTTGGTCGAACCAGGGAACAAGTGCACTGTCGCTCTCAAACTCTCGCCTTTCATCTCGCTCCGGCTCCCTCTTTCCAGCTCTATCACTTTTTCACTTGTTAGCCCTCCTTCAGATCCCCCTCATAAACCCCGTTCTCTGTAAGTGCATGTGACCAGAATGTGGGTTTGAGCCGAATATAAAAACAGCCTGTAAACTGATGAAACCAAGGAAAAGATGAGCCTTCACAATAATTCAATAATCCATTTGCATGCTTTTGAACAAATATATGAAGGGTAATTAGCCAAATGATCTCATTAGTATTCGTTAGTAAAGTTTGGTTCTACTGTAGAACACTTACTTTTTTCCTTTTTTACATTTGGATAGACACTAATACTCACAATATCAACATATGGACACTTAAAAAAAAAAACATAATTTAGTCTAATCATAAGCTAGTCATCATGAGAAAAAGTTCCTACAAGGTAAAAAATTACTGTTTTTTAGGAACATTTGGTCCTCGCAACGTAAGGTTTGCCAGGACCACCCACACACACACAGGTAACTGAGTGAAATTTATTCTGTATATCATACTTCTTGAGTGTTCTCCTCAAATGATTTATGAAATGTTTACCCATTATACCCTCTGCTATGAAATTGTGTTAGAGTATACTGAACCCAGTCCAGTCGCCAATATCCTGATATTGTACGCTATCTATGAAACTAGCACATTTTACGTACGAATACGTATGCATAAAAATAAGATCTCTCAGAATAACTCTCAAGAGAGCTGAAAATTGTTACAGTATTACTAACAGCAGCAGCAGCAGCAGCTTATTTGAATATAATATTGCTTGGCTTAACTTAATGATTAACATTTTATTGAAAATATTTAGGAAATCAATGCGCTGATGTGTCCTCTATAAATGTGAAGAATCTGTGCGATTATAGTTTGTGAAGCCCGGGTGCATTAAATTTAATTCAGTCATGAATGATTGAATGCATTACTGAAACAACCATGAAACATCAATAATAATTTCCATAACTGAGCTCCAAGGCTCATTTCCAGTGCAAAATGTCTTATCGAACACATTACTAAATTTGATCATGTTCCACAAAATAAATCGGTCATTAGTTCCCATGGCAGCCCCGTGGCTCAGTGAACACTGAACATCCATGAGAACAGCCCTAGCCGTGAGACTGTGCCACCTACCACAGCCACAAAGCGCCCGGTCAGGTTGTCTCCAAGTTTTGTTTCTGGCCGAGTCTTTTGTAACACGAATCCACTGTGTGCTAATTTGACGCGCTGCAGAGATAAAGGGGGGAACTCATGTTAGTTTCAGCATCAGAGGATCGGAATGTGGGCCATTTAATGCAGGAGTCAGACAATTCCTCTCAAACAGACCCACATGGTTAAATGAATAGAGAAGTAATTAACAGAAAGCCTTGACTCACTGGATAAAACAATATTCAAATCAGAGAGAGAAAAAAGAGAGAGCGACATAATGATAATGGAGCGAATGATAATGGCAAAATAATTTTAGTGTTATGAAACTGGGAATTATGAGGAGGAGAGGATAAATCAATAAACAAAAAAAAATATGCTTTTTATATTTATCTTTCAGGACCATGTTAATGGCAATTACCAGAAATCTAAAAACTTGTTGGTCACAAGAAAGATCCTAGTCTAAGAAACAATTTTTTATTCCTATTGTAAATCTACATTTTTACAAAATGTATAGTTAT